CCCCCCCCTCCCCCGGCAACGAACACTGGTACTCACAACACGGAACACCACCAGGAGTCACAAAGCCCGGTTGGGGAACACCGGTTCAGGAACCTCGATTAAGCAGCGGCGTGAATTGTAGATCGGGTTGAGTGGTCGGCGAGATTGACTCGATGTGCGGGAATATGCGACCTCACGCATAAGGTGATACGGTTATCCGAGCCGCTGTTGCGGTACCGTTCTGTGAGGGACTTGAAATCCACTCTGTTGCACGAAATGATACACGCCTACTTGTGGGAGTCGGGTGTTCGGGGGCAGGAAGGGCCCCACGGGCGGTCGTTTCGGAGACTGGCTGCCGATATCGGTGCTAAAGCGGGCGTTCCCATAACCTGCACACACTCCTTTTACCAAGAGGTCAACGAGGTTCGCAGAATTAAGAACCGGCCTACCTCGCCCGCCCTACTCCCGACTCGTCAGTGGACCAACCAATCCGTCTACCAGCTCCCCTGTAGCCGTCCGGCCTTCAACGATGCATCTGGACTAAGCAGTAATGAAAATGCGGGCCGCTTAGACCAAGAGGGGCGACGCCAAGGAGGTCGCCGTTTAGACGAAGGGGGCCGAGAGAAAACTTCATCCTCGTCTTCGCCAGACCGGCTTCTGGAAAAGCTGTACCGAGAAACAGACTTTAAAATCGAACCAGAGCAACCCAAAGAGGGCCTTAATTTCGGATCCAATCGTGCATCAGATGGTGGACCTGACCGTCGGCCTGCTTTAGATCATGAATCGGATCGGATGTTACAGAAGATGGTATGGATCGCCTCATTTGATTCTAGCGATGCAGTGGATGTTGGCGGGAGCGAAACGAGTCGCGTTTCGCTGAGGCAAAGCCTGTGTCTGAAGGGGTGGCTGTGAAGGGGTGCAGCACTGGGTGGATTTTTCCTGGTGAGAACAGACACCCGTGTGCATGCGCGTCAGACAAAATCTCGACACAAAGAGCGTGGTGGCGCACTCATCTAAATCAACAGGAGTCGCCTGCACCTATCTGAGCTCTTTCTATTTGACGAAACATTGATCCTTGGCGAGGGGTCGATTCCGGGCGAGGGGTCGATTCCGGGCGACCGACTGACTCACTCCGAGCGGGTTTTGATCGAACCCGTCGTTGATCGAACCCGTCGTTGAACGACCACCCCTGTTGATTGACTGGCATTAAACCGCAGACTTCCAGCTTGTCCTGCTCGAGCGACGTGCGAGCACATGCATTTGTGTCGCAACTTGTATTAGCGTCGCTACCACAGTCGCCATGGGGGGTGCGTAATAGTTTGGCTACCTCCTCCTGTTCTGTTCGTGAACACGATTTTTACGGTAATTCGTGGATCACGATCTCCTTCCATTACTCGGAGACGTTTATCCGTGGATCTATTCGTCCTTGGAGTTGGCTATTCATCTCCCTTGGGACTCGGTTATTCAGCTCCGTTGGAGTCGTCTCTGTTGGGAGTCTTTATTCATGGTTATTACGTGCCGAGTCTTGCATGCACTATTGCAGTTTCTTGTTGACCTGTTTCTGTTCTCGTTTGATTCTGAGCAGAATTTGGACGAATCCGACGAGCATGGTCATGTTGAAGCCTGCATGAATGAAGAGGACGAGTTTGCCGTTGCAGTCTTGGAGGTCCCAATAGATGCGTTTGACGGTGGTTAAGAAGAAGACGTAGCCGGCGATGAATTGAATGATCTGTATCCGAGTGATCCAGTGCTTCCAATGTACTGGTTTACCCCGGACTTGGAGGTAGTAGTAGTAGTACATGACTACATGGACGCTGCCGTTAACGATGACCGCGAGGGCAGACAGAGAGCTGCGGTATTTCATATACGCCCAACAGATGGCGAGATAACACGTGTGATGCCACACGTGGAAGTTATACGAGGGGGGGCGCCGCCCCTTTACCATTTGGATAATGGTGTCTAGCAACTCCCAATACTTTGACGCGTAGAATAAATACACTACGTAACCTATACGGCCCTGATGAGGAGTGGGACTCGTCGGACAGATGAGGTAGTCCGTATCGGTATCCGGGTCGTTCGGGAAGAAACGCAGGTCATACAACACAATCGTGTACGACATGAGCAAAACCATCGCCAATGACGCCAGACACAACGCCAAGTTGTGCACAGCCTGCACCCGTCGAACCAAGTCCATGGTCTTCGCCGACACACCCCTCTCCAACGCACGCCTCTCAATCCACCGAATCAACACCAGGTAACTCACGATCGCTGTCTACAAAACGGATCTGGCACACACATCTGGCACACAAATCTATCACACACATCTGGCCCACACATGCAGGATCCCGTCAACCAGCCGCAGGTGCAGGACACCTACCGCTGCGTGATACCACTGGTTCAGCGGTGCCTCATTGAAGTCAAAATCATCCGGTCGAAGCCAATCAATCATCAGCTTTTCAAAAAATTTAATTCTCCCTGAGACCCCCCTCTAGCTGAACTCTTTGTCTGACCTACAGCTGAAAGAAACCCTTCTCGCTTTGACTTATAGAAACAGGTCCTCACGTTGACCTACAGAGAGAGACCCTCATAGTCAAAGGTAATAATGGGTCCAGCAGCACCGTGGCTGGTCTAGCAACACCGTGGCTGGCCTAGCAACACTGTGGCTGGCCTAGCAACACCGTGGCTGGCCTAGCAACACCGTGGCGTCGACGCCATGGTTCGCGAACCGAGCGTGCCAGAGGGTTGAGACCTGGACCCGCTCAGCGAGAGCTGAGTTACCAGTCCCAGTCGTCATCGTCGACTTTGTGTTTGATCTGGATCTTGGTCACTATGTTGGTGTCCGGAATTTGCTCCAATACGTTTATCAATTGTTCTTCCGTGATTTGCGCTCCTCCTGCCAACCGCATTCCATTCGTCAAGAAATAATCCTCTATTTTACGGCTCCTTTCCGGCTTCACCAGCTCTATTCTCTTTAAACGCTCAAGAGCCCCCGGTGTTAACACGCGTTTCAACATGAGCCGACGTTGCTCCTGAAGCTCGCTATCGCAAAGACATCACCAGGGAAGAGGTACACGCAACCATGCGGACGTTGACCGCGGGCTGGGGGGGAACAGAGAGAGGGAGGCCATAGACAGGGACGGGAATTATCTGCCAGGATCTGACTGGCTTACGCAGCTTTTTTCTCCTTCTCCGGTTGGCTCTCCTGTTGACTCATTCTTTGTTAAAAAATACGGACTGGGCGCGAACGACTGAGTCTGCTTTCGGAAACTCGTGGGACTGCCTCTCAACTCGCGGGGCTAAGCGTCACGGGAAGGCCAGACATTCGCCGCCGTCACAAATAGTGGGGGTCAGTAACTAGTGGTTGTCAGTAGCGACTGGCTACAACCCCCCCAAACGAACCCAAATTCCATGTTTTGGGGGCGGGCGGGGGGCGGGCGGCTGGAG